TTGGATATTAGCCCCTTTTTCGGAGGAGGTTTTGATAAGAGTTTTTCGAAGTCCGTTAAAGGCAATTTGCTGGCTTGTGAGAAGGATGAATCATTAAATAAACTTTGAACTTGAAGATATTCGAACCATTTGAGTTTTATGTTGAATTTCGTTTCCATCTCCACCTTTGTTCTTAATTTACCATTTTGTAAGAGGTCTTTAATTCTTGTTATTTTTGCTTGTTTCCAGTCACCAAAAGCCGTAGGAGAGAGAGCCGGGATGAACCATCGTTGTCCGGTAAATGTGGTTATTTGTGAGCCTTTGTTTGTTAACTTGGATTTGAGTTCATACCATGTCTTTAGTGATGTTTTGAAAAAAGGATTGGAAGTATAAGTTTCTGTTTCTTTAAGCTTATCGTGCCACATAAGTTCCTGAACCATTTTTTCATTGATATTTTCTCCTTCTAGATTTTTCCAGCCTGGGTAGCTAAGTTCGTGCTATTGCCTAATTAGTGATGCTAAAATCGTGGCTTTCCTGTACAGATTGAGGTCAGGTAAAGCTAGTCCGCCGTTTTTTCTTGGTTGTTTCATTGTTGAGAAGGCAATTCTGGGCTGTTTCGAATTCCAAACAAATTTATTAAGTTCTTTTTGCCATTTATTAATTTGAAGATCTGGGATTCCAATAGGTAAAGTCCTGAACAGGTATAAATATTTGGGCAATATGAAGGATCTCAATATCGAGATTCTGTCGTGCCATGAAAAGTTGTTTTTGTTCCAGGAGGTTAATGTTTTTGTAATTTCTTCATGTAGAATTGAGTGGTTTTTTTGCACTAGTTTGGAGAGGTCCAGAGGTATATTAACTCCTAGGTACCGTAGGCTGTCGGATATCCATTGGAATGAGTAAGTTGCTGTAATTTGCGTATCAGTTCTCGCGGAGATGTTGATTGGAAAAATTTGTGGTTTTGTATTATTTACTTGTAGCCCTGAGACTGTGGCGAATGAGTCCAGAGAGGTTTGGATTGAGGGCAGAGAAAGGATTGGGTTGGAAACGTAGAGGATGACATCGTCGGCGAATAGACTCAGTTTAAACTCTTGACCGTTGATGGTGATATCTTTGTAGTCTCGGTTGAGACGAAGTGGTTCCAATGCTAGCACGAAGAGGATCGGTGACAAGGGGCATCCCTGTCTCGTGCCCTTGTGGAGTGAAATTGCTTCTGAGACGTCTCCATTGATAAGAAGCTTGGCTTGCGGATTTTGATATATTGCTCGTATCGATTTAATGAATGAGGGTCCGAATCCCATGTGTGATAGTAAGGATAGTAGGAATTGAATTTCTAGGGAGTCAAAGGCCTTCTCAATGTCGATGGCCATTAGAAGAGATTCAAATTTTGGATTGTGTTGACAGTGGAGTATAATATCAATGGTCTTTCAGATATTATCTGAGATATCTCTTGTTGGGATGAATCCTGCTTGATCATTTTGGATGTATTCAGCAATGAAGGTGTTAAGATGAGTAGCTATGACCGCAGCAAAGATTTTGTAATCGATATTTATAAAGATATCGGGCGGTATGATTTTGGGTCTGTTTTGTCCTTATCCTTTTTGGGTATCAAGATGACATTCGCCATATGCCAGGTTTGTGGCATGGTGCCTGATGTTATGATGTCATTGCATACCTTTAACAGGGGTTGAATAAGTATGTCACGAAACACCTTATAATATTCCGGGATGAACCCATCCGGGCCAGGAGATTTATTATTTTTAAGGGATTTGATTACGTTTTCAACTTCTTGTTGTGTTATGGAAGTTTCCAGCATCTCCACATGATCAGCTTTTAAGGTTGGGATAGATTCAATAGATTGGAGGTAGTTTGAGATCGATTGAGGATTAGGGTGTTGAGAAGAATATAGAGATTCATAAAAGGACTGTAGGATTTTAATGATCTCACTGGTTTCCGTGTGCGTAGTATTTTGTTTGCTCTTTATGCATCCTATGTACCTTTCTGTTTGTTTCTTTTTGAGTCTCCGTGATAATAGCTTTAAATGTTTAGATTTATTGGTTTGGAAATGTTTTTTGCTATTAAAGTTTTCTTTTAAGATGTCCGTGGATTCCAGCATTTCTAGTTTTTTTCGGACATCCAGTAGCCATTTATAGACTTTTTTTGCTACAGGTGGCTTTATGTTTGACTTCTAATGTCTTAATGCTATTCAAAAGTTCCTGTTTAATTTTGTGCTTTTCTTTCTTGCAGGCCGACAGTATGGCAATGCATTGCCCTCTGAGGACTGCTTTTTGAAGCTTCCCAAACGGTGTGTGAGGACACGTCATCAGTTGTGTTTATTTTGAAATAGCTGACTATCTCTTGTCTGAGAGCATCTTGTGCCTTTGGGTCACATAATAAAAGCTTGTTGAGTCTCCAGCTTGGTTTTTTTAATTTATTGTTTCCATTTCCGAGTGTGCATAACACTGGAGAGTGGTCTGACCATTTTTGAAGGCCAATACTAGATGTTATGATTTTTCCAAGCATCTCAGAGGAAGTCAGTAAAAAATCTATTCGTGAGTATGATTTCAGCCTAGGAGAGTAACAGGTATAGTCTCTTTCGGACGGATGTTGATGTGTCCAAAGGTCTACTAGACCATGTTTATCTAAAAGGTCCTGTAAGTGACTTGATTTACGTTTAGAATTTGGCTTCTTGGGTGACGATTTATCAATTTGTGGATCTAAAGTATAATTTAGATCACCTCCTAGAATAATAGGACCAGTATGGAATGTTTCTAATTTTATTAAGGTTTCCTGGATAAAATTACATTGGTTGGAGTTCGGAGCATAAACTGAAGCAATAGTTATGGGTTGATCATTCAAAACACCATTAACGAATATAAATCGGCCAGAATCGTCTCTCATGCAGGAGTCTACCTTAAAGTTTGTGGAAGCAGAAAATAAAATTGCCACTCCCCTGGAGTTGTTGGAACCGTAGGCTAAAAGTTGGGTCGGGAACCATTTAGGTGGCAGGATATTGCATTCTTGTTTAGTGTGGGTCTCTTGGAGTAGAACAATATTAATCTTTTAGGCGCGAAGATCTTTGGCGATTCGTTTTGCTTTAATTTTGTTTTTAATTCCCCTACAATTTAGGGTTAAAATATTTATAGAATCCATATTGAAATGGTGTAACTAACTTTATACCACTTATAAACAGTAAAAGTTAAAACATCAGTTGTCAGAAAACATTTCCTAATGACCATTTTTTCTATTGTATTTTCTTTACTATACTTGCACCGTTTGCATCTTCTATTTTCCTCAGAATGGTCTCCTGAATGTCTTAATTCCGTATGGTCTATAGCCAAAATCAACCAATGAAACAACAAATGTGTAGATTAACTAATTTCGATAAGCAGTTAATCAGTGCGTTAAGTAGAACCGTTGACTACCCTAATACAGATTATAACAATATCAATATGTGAAGTGTAACAGTGTGAAACAACAATTATTTATTTTAAATTCCCACCAGAATTGGATACTTCCCCTCTTTCTTCTTCTGTAAGTTTCCCAGCTTCTACTTTTAAGATAATATAAATTCAGTTAGATGTTATAGTGAACAATGCAATAAATAAATAGTTTATATTTCCAAAAAGAATTAATCTATTACTATTATATGCGTATGTGAACAATAAAAAGTTACTGTGTAATTTATTTGGTAACAGTTAAATATAGTAAACCCAATGTAAATAGTTAATGTAGTTAATACTATTTCCCCCCCACAACTAATAAACTACAGGATTAATTAAACAAATATAATTAAAAAGATTCCCTGAGCTTATACTTTCTAAGTGCCTTAATAAAGTACTGCTTTATGAAAAAGTGCACAATAAAGCTTTACACTCTAATTAATCTGGTACCAGTAAAATGCAATAACCACAACGTTGAAATCTTGATATGAAATGCAACTTATGTAATATAATTTAACACTTATTTATTAACTGTATGAACTTTAGATCTCTTACTGTTTACTCTTGAACTTATTTCCTCTTTGTTGTGTTCCCCTTGACTCCACCCCCCTTAAATTATTTCTGACTAAGAAATACACAATCAGTTTCTAACCCCCCCCCCCAAACTAACTACTATATTCTCTACTATATGTACTTGGATGGATATTAAAATGGTCTTTGGAGCTCCTGTTCCCTAACAGGAGAATGGAACCTTCCACTACCCTTTTCCAACCTAAACAAATCTTGTGTTGTTAAATTACTATTGTGTTCTCCCCCCCCTTTCCCAACATAGAATTAAAATTTGTCCTAACATTGAGCTTATGAAAGATATAAACACTACTATTTCTAAGAAATGTTAGCATTTTGGTTACTTTTTTACAACCTATATTTGTGTTTGGTGCACATTTTAAAACTCTGTAGGACTCCTGCTGCTTTTTTCCGGGGTGTTTGTGCTCATGTGTTTCCTTTTGGAGCCTTGCTTGCTGCCCTCTGGTGGTTTTCTTATCAAATGATTTTTAAAGTATTTTTGTCCAGCTGCTTTCCCATACCAAACAAAAGCATGCCACCCTATCTTTAAATCATGCCCTTCTAGAGCTAAAAGTCTTTGGTTTTCAAGCAAGATTCAATCTCTCCTCCAGACCAAGCAGGATGCTCTATAGTATGTCCTCCAATCCGGTAGAGCAAAGCCAGCATTTTCTTTGAAATCTAGCACTTTAAATGTCTTTTTTCTTTTTAAAAAATCTTGCAGCACTTTCAATTTAATTCTTGGCTTTTTCCCTTGCCAAATAAAATTAGATGTTAGCTTATTCATATCTTCAAAGAAATATCAATTGATGCAAACAGGAATAGTCTGATATAGAAAGATGATATGTGGCAATATATTCATTTTACAGCTGCAATCCTTCCGATCAAGGCTAGATGGAGACCTTTCCATCTTTCTAAATCTTTCTTAATTTCTTGGAGCAATTTCAGGTAATTATCCTTCATCAAAGAACTACACTTTGGAGTTAAATATATTGCCAAATACTTAACTCTTTTCTCCAGCTGGAATCCTGTTAATTAACTCCATTTTTGGAGTAGAAGTCATATTCTTAGTTATAACCTTTGTCTTCTGATAATTTATTTTCATCCCGACCATTTCCCCATACTCTTTAAGATTATTCAGCAGATGTTCTATAGAGTCAGCTGGGTCCTCCAAGATAAATACTAAGTTGTCAGCGAAAGCTTGTAGCTTATGACCCTTAATTGAGGCTCCTTTGATTGTACGATCTTTTCTGATAGCTCTTGTCAAAACTTCCGAAGTTAAAATAAATAAAAGTTGCCATAGAGGACGGCCTTGTCTTGTCCCTTTTTCAAACAAAATAGTATCTGTCAAGTCACCTGGGACTGTTGGGGGCGGGGTGTGTGGCCTTATGACACACTTCCGGTGATGTCAGGGGGTGTAGCATATGCTAATGAGTTATGCTAATGAGTTCCCCTAGCTCTTTTTCTACAACGACCCCTGCAAGTCACCATGTAGAACTATCCTCGCTTTCTGTTTCACATAAATAGCTTCAACTACTCTTATAAAATCAGTCCCAAATTTCCTTTCCTTTATCTGTGAAAGAGGGGTTTACCCCTTTGGCACCTGCCTTTTGGTTCAGGGGGGCTACTGTGGAGTGTTGCCCCTGCTCCAGCTGCAGGGCAGTTTATTCTGCTTTCGGTCTCCAGACCAATGGCAAGGCCACAATTACAATTCTCTCTGTGTGGAGAAAACACTCTCTTGTGTGGAAGCCCTCTCTGAAGGGAGAAAGGAAACACTTTGCATTCTTTCTTCTTACTTTCCAGGACGGATCCCTGGCATCAGGAAAAAATAGGGGGGGAAATAAGCTTAAGGTCCAACCTGGCTCCTAATAGTTACAGAACATTTTGTTCCAGGCCTCTTGAATCAGCCAGCTTTGCTAAGACTGGAACGACGTTGGGAGTCCAGTGGCGCCTTTAAGACCGTGGAGGCACAGGAAAGCTCCTGCCCAGAGTTAGACCTGCGTAGGTCTGAAAGGTGCCTGATGTCAGCAAGCTGCCATAAGGTGGTGTATTCTTTTCTACATATTAGTGTGCTCTGTCCATCCCCCCCCTGTATTCCCCTGTGTAGGTGTTTACTGTTGGTTGCTTGCTACATCTGCAGAACTGCTCAAGGTCAACCAGCTGGAGGTGGGATGGAGTTGTGGCGTTGCTCTGCTTATTATGTATTTCATGCCTGAGAACTGAACTTGTGTTTATGTTGTAGAACCGTTGTGTTCCCAAGGAATTGGGCACTAGTTTTATCTGCATTCCCGCCAACGGGAATTGGACTCATTGGTCCTAACCTGGTTCAAGTTCCTTTATTATATTTCCCTCTGGGATCTGTAGTCATTCCTAACAATTCTTGTGTTCCTGATCTAACCATCGCTTTATAATAAACTGACTTTGTTCTTCAAACGTGGATTTATTTCGAATGCATGGGGAATCGGACACCTGACCGGACTCCGACTCTGCTCTGTTGCTTCAGACTGGATCTCTGCCAAGGCCGGCCACCCGCTTCTGGCCAGAGCTTCAGTGTCCAGACTGGGCCCCGATGGGCCCCCTCCCGAATACCTGCAGGTGGAGACGCGGCGTGCCTGTGCGCCCTGCTCTTCTAGGGAAGCCCCTCGGGGTGAAGGTGCCTTGGTGGCTGTCAAGTCACAGCTGACTTCCGGCGAGCCCTCCGGAGTTTCCCCAGCCGCCCGCCCACCCGCCGGGCGAAGCCTCCCCGTCCCGGCCTCCCTCCCTCCTCCCCGCC